GCATTGGCTATGCAGAGAGTTAGTAGCTTGCAGTGATCGGGTTAAAAGTGTGATAGTAATTTTGAGTTCTGTGTCTTCATGAGTCTTGTGTTATTTTTGCCTTTTTTGTATCTAGCCCAAAAATGTATACCATATAACATGGTTTTCATTTAGTTCAGGTTTTTTCAAACCTTTTTGAGTTGTCAACCCCTTGATGAACTTATAAAGTTGTCATTGACCCGCAAATTCTCAGAATATAAATTATAAATGAAACTTCATAATAAAGAAACTTCAATATATAATCAACTTTTATTCATCATGATACAATAGTTAGGAAATACAAAATGCAAAAAAGAATTACTGTAAGAATTTATATACTGTGAAAGATGCAAGAAAAGGAATGAACATCATTAATTCGCTGTTGCTACTAGGTGTAGGGCAGTTAGTTGCATAGGCCAACCTTACCCTAGAGGACTTTTTCGACCTCCTGTAAACCCATAGGTCTTTATTCACCCACTGTACAGTTTCATCCACCACAGGGGGTCAATATTGATCACTCTGGGAAACCCTGACCTAGTGCAAAAAGTTAGCTTTCAATAAATGTACATCCCAGTACGGTTATTTGTGGCTGTGTTACTTGGAGTTTTCAACCATAGCTGACCACAGTTGGAGACCTGTATCAGCATCTTACTAACACAAAGCTTCTTTCAGTAAACAATTTTCAATTTTACAGAAATTTAACTTACACAAAAAGTTGTGTGTGTTTATGTCTAATGCTTACTTGCTTACTAAGGCTGATATCTAAGTAAACCACTATCCTTCAAGTTGTAAGCTTTATCTGACTTTTACACTGCATATATGTATGTAAGTATGTATAATCACATTTTCTGTTCACCCATTATTGGGGTTTTTGATTATTATAAAGGTTGGTTAGATTATTTAAAAAAAAAAACTAGTTGGATGAAAATTATCTAAACTAGCAAAGATACCTGCTGTTGGCAAGGCATTTATTTTGTTGGTTTCACATATATGGTGGGATGATGCGTGTGCATCATATGTTGGCACTAAGACAGTAGCACAGGAGAACATTGAACTATTTTTCACTAACAATTATTAGAAAGTGAATAAAGGAATGGATTTTGCAATCTCTCCGGGTCATACTCAATAATACCTGAAAGTTTCATTGTGATCAATGGTCAGGAAATTGGAATATTTTCATCATAGACAAACAGTCATTCAAAAACAATCCACTTTATAGTAGAGATGTAAAAGAGTTTGAAAATTTCTTTCAACATATAAATTTAAGGCAAACAATGAGTCTATTTTTTTAATCAATTACATGTCCTAAGTGAAGTTATTCTGACAATAGACTGTTATATTGTTTTTCAGTGAAGAATTTGAAAAATTGTATAATGACCAAGCCATGAAGTGTGAACTGGTCTTATTTAAAGAATTAGCAAATCAATTTTACGTTTATTGGTGAATACACATTTTGTAAACAAAATCATACAAACAAAGCTAGTTGAATAAGGCAAAGTGTGAGAAGTGCCCACAAGTGGACCTTCAAAGCATCAAATCAGCCTGACTGAGTGCAAGTTAGTGGACAGTTGAATCTGCTACATCCAATCCAGGTAACAAACCAGTGCTTGTCTAAGGTTAACCCCATCTTTGAGAAGATGAAGCAACACTGGAAAGACACTTTACATCAATCATACTAGTTACAATAAAAGAATTGGGATTCAATGACAATATTTTTCAATCTACTGGAACTTTTGCTTTCATCTGGGCCAACTAGCAACCTATATCATCATTCAGAGTCATCCTTATGTAACATGCGTATTAAATAAGCAAAATTGAAAAGTCGGCATTTGCTCCACATTAATGATACCTTACATCCTTTCACATAATATCTTTTCTCTATTTGTGCTGCCCTCTGTATGCACAATTTTTGCTTTTCACAAGCCTTGATACTCCCACCTACCCTCACATATTTACATGTGGTATAGCTATGCTGGAATGTGCAAATAAGCATGCAACAACCATCTACCAATAGGAGTGCAACACACCCTCGTAGAACAGCTGACTCCCTCTATACTGTAGAGTACTTTCATCACTTCTCGACTTGGCATTCTAGTGTACAGTCATGCTTTAATTTTGCTCTGCAATTTTCTTCATTTTTGTGTGCAAATTTCAGCTAACTTTATTGTGCTTGATAATTTAGTTTGTTGTCAGTTGCCTGTGAGCTTGTCTATATATACAAACAACAGCTTATTGCATGATCAATGCAATGACAAATAATAACAGGATCTGCACTCAAAAGAATAAAAGAACAAGTGGGTGTTATGATAGACTTGGTGGAGGCTCTCATTATACAGGCACTTTTGAGCATTGGTGTGATGGTGACCATCAAATGTGAAGGACTGTAGACCCTATGGGACAATACAGTAAAGGGGTGTAAAACACTGTCTTTTTGGGCATGTGTGTACATGTATGATATATTAGATAATGAAGAATAAATTGACATGTCTAAATGAAAACTTTCTCTAGTTTTATTTTGTACAATGTTTCGGGTAGATGCCCTTCATCATTCAGTAAAGACTGTGTTACAGTGGAATTAGGCTCATAAGAATCATTGAAAGGTAAGAAAATACTGAGGTTCTTGAACCAATTTTTTCTTCCCACATCTTGCAGAACAACCAACACACATTCAAATATATGCATATAGTGGTCTCAGCTGTGAATGACAGTAGAAGTTTGATGGATTTGTTGTGTTCAGTTTTGTGAAATATCTATTGTATATATGTATCTGTATATAAGTATTTGGGTAAATTTTGGCTCCTAAGTATTTGTGTTTACTGATGTAAGTATATGTTATGTATTATGAATTTAATTATGTATGTATGTGTATATATCATGTTCTATTGTAATGTATACATTAATTTTTTTTCTTTGTCATACTTGGACAGAATCAAGTTGAGGCTATGGAAGGTCCTGATTGGAATGATGCTTTACTAGAAGAAGGTATAGTTTATAAAACATGTTGGCTTCACAGTTTCTTTGGTTAAAAAAACTCAAAGAATGCTGACTGTGATTTGATTTAATTAACATAATGTTTCTTTTTCAAATGTAGTAAATATATTATATTTAATTTTTAATATAAGGTATGATATTTGTAGTCTGTATAATGTTTAGCATGGAGTGTGATAGTTGTAGTCTCTAAAATGTTTAATATAGACTGTGATAGATTTAATCTGTATAATGTTGAACATGGGGTACAGTAGTTGTAATGTTTAATTTAGCTTGTGATATATGAAATTCGTCTAACTTTTACTGAGAATGTGATAAATTAAGTTGATTTTAATGTTTTTCGTTAAGGTACAGTAGCTGTAGCCTAAGTAATACTCGATTTAGAGTGTGATAAATGTAGTCCATGTTATATTTGATTTGACAGTGTGGTGGATATAGTCAATAGAGTGTTCAGATGCAATACTATCATCAACTGTTTGGGGCTAAAGACTCCTTGTTCATGTCGTGATATGGACTCTTCCAACCCATTCCACTCTTTCTGCATAATTTCACATAAAATTTCCGTATGTGCAAAATAACTACACATATTCACATGATTATGACACTTTACTCTTATGCCCGTTGGCCAGTCGTGTGTCACATTATGCTATCTCTATTTAACTTGTATCTGAATAGTTCCTTTCCAGATGTTGTCATGTTTTCTTTTGGAGCCTCAGGTGTTCACATCATAATATTCTGTACTGTGTGAGAGTTGTTTGCCTGTCTTGTTTCTTAAGATTATTCATTATTATGAATGTTTAATTTGCTGTTACTAGTAATCATGAGGTTTTTGATTCTCTTGAGAATTCATCTCAAAGTATTCATCAAACTTCTAAAATTTTACTGAGATATTAAATGTTTGGCTGAAAAGTAATTAGCCTCCCCATGTATTGCCATGTTGCATTTGGTGATGCTTCTCAAGGTTGTTACTCCAGGTTTTTGGATGAGGCTAGTAATGAGGAGGGGGTGGTAGTACTTTTACTCCTGATATCTGCAGCAGTAGCCTGAGTTCCCCTCCTTAGATTGTTTAGCAAACTGTTTGTTTTGTATTGGGGTTGGGACTAGATCTTTTTTCTGTTCCTGTCATTCAACAGAAATTGGCAAAACAGAACTTCCAGTGTGTCATCATTGTTATTTTTCCTCCAGAATTTTTACCACAGTCTTTTATTATTTTTGCTGGTGTCAGTCTCCTTGCTGCAGATTCAGAAGGTATTTATATTTCTAGGCAGTTGTTTTTCTGTGTCAGAGTTTCTTTCTTTCCAATGTCATAATATATACTAAAAGGAAATCTTCCCTAGTTAATTTGCTACAATTTTTAGAGGATTTTGCATGCTATCTGGATGATGAAAATTGTTTGGGCTTCTTGTATGTAAATTTTCAAAAAGATTTTGATAAGGTGCAACACAAAAGATTAGTTAAGAAAATCACATCAGTGGGGTTGGGGATATTTCATTGCAATTTGGTGGACTAGAGAATTTAAAAGGTTGTTTTTAAAGTACTCTAGTCAAACTGGACCCTTCTTACAAGTGGAGTTCCTCAGGGTTCAATGCTTGAGCCTTTGCTTTTTCTTGTTTACTTTGATTATATTTATGGAGGCATAAATAGTCAAATTTACAGATGGCATTACACTCATGGGTATCTAAAGCTGTGTTAAGATGTTGAGGTTCTAAAGAAAATAATTTAGATCAGTTAGCTAATTGTACAAATATTCAGCAAATGACTCTTAGTTATAGTTAATACAAGATAACATTTTGGTTATCATAATTTGAAGTACATATTTAATATAACTGAGAACCCACTAAAGAGCATGACTGAAGAAAATGATTTTGACATTTTTTGTAAGTCACTCAAGTCATCAAGTCAAGGCTAATAGGATTTGAGGGTGTATTTATAGACATCTTGGTTACATGTTATAAGAAGACTTCGAAATTAAACAGTTTTCAGAATACTAAGTTTATTTATTAAGTATTCTTCTCTTTACAGAACTCAATAGTTAGGCCTCACTTGGAATACTGTATGTAGTTTGGTCTCATTATTTAAAAAATTATATTGACTTACTGGGAATTTTTCAGAAAAGGGCTATTAGGATGATTCTAGGAATGGGAGGTTCGTCTTACTGAGATAAGTCAATATTGATTAATCTTACTCCCTTTTTTAGAAAAGATAGGAAAGAGGTGACCTTATCGAAGTTTACAGGATTGTCTGAAGATTCGATAAGACAGAAGGCTCTGATATTCTTGTGGTTTATTCTGAAGGATGAGAAAATACAATTTAATATTTGAAGCAGACAGGCTAAGCTCCAGTTAAGACAGTTTTATTTTTAAAACAATGTGATTGAATTTTAGAATGAGTTATGATTGACACTAGTGGAGGCAAATGCATTATAAGAGTTTAAAAGGGGAGTTGATAATTTTCTGAAAAATAAAGGGTGGATTTAAGTTTTAATTTTTCTCAAGGTTGGTTATCCAGGGGCAACCTCAAAGGATCAACTGGTCCTGTGTTGTTTTAAATATGTGTTATGTAATCTTCACACACACATTAATAAATAAAACAATGACTTTTATTGAGTTCTGTAGTTTGTTATGAACCACTATCGTGGTTTACAATAGCGACTGGCCAGGTTTTGACAAACACTCTAACAGAACTCATGGTGAAAACGATCTTAGAAATCAAACTCATTCCTAAAACAACACTCAAAATCTTCCTTTACAATACTAAAGCCATACACATTAAAAAAAAA